CTCCAACCCTAATAGCGATGGCCTCCAACCTACTAGCGATGGCCTCCCCCTACTTAGAAGGGGCAAAGGCGGCAATTGATTTTAGGTCAAGTCAAATCTGTGGACTCGCACAAGGTGGACCAAGGTGTCCCCAACAGGGTGGGCGAAGCTGTCCCTTGAAAACCTTAACACAACATATAGATCCAACCCCCGAGCCTTCGAGTTTGCATCAGTGACTTACACAAATTGCAGTGTCATACGGACCGGAACTCTGAATTCTGCCTCTGGGACGCCATTGGTTTTGCTTCTTAGTACCAGCCGCAAAAGCGAGTCCTCAGGTGGAACCGAGTGAATATTGAAAATTAAAATAGACATTTAAATACGAAAGGGGTTACGTCTTCTACTGTCTCTCAAGCACTTGGCAACATAGGCCAACTTTCAGAAAGGAAGCAGGCTTCGAAAAGAATCATCTGTTAAGACATGTTAAGAGAATCCCTCAACTTCGGCCACACCTTGATGTCGACCTCCATCTTGTTGGCGGTGTTGTCGATGCCCATGAGCTTTCCTCGCAACAAGGGGCGGCTTCAAAGTCGCTGGTTTTGGCATCAGGGAGGTTGAGTTTTCTGGTCGGCTGATGTAGGTGTCCAAGGCTTCCCCTGCAGTCCCTTCTCCAGGGCCGCAAGAAGATGCGGCCAGGCATCGTTGGAGCTGGTTTGCTACAACCTCGATCAGACAGGTCTACAGGCTGTCTAAATCTCTGCTGGTTCAGAGCGGCTCGTCCGACGTTGAGCAACCACTTCGAGAACGAAAATCAGTGGGCTAGTAGGCGTAAAGCATGGGCGGTGAATAAGCTCTCAAATTAAGCAGTTGACATGCTCATTGGGCGTACAAGGACTCTGAGCAGCCCCGGTCTTTGGATCTGGCAAAGTGGATTGTCGCAGCATTGCAGTCGCTTATGTGCAGCCACGGAACATTCTCCAAGAATATCGCCATGATCAAATTGAACACCCCCAAACATACCAGCATGAACATACACACGTAGCTTACCTGGGTAAGCAAGTGTCATCAAGCTATGCTATACAGATTGTAGTGTCCTGGCACAAATTTGAAGTCTTCTAATTACCGAAGTGTGCATCTTGTTTCTCTGATGAAGACTCTCCCATTGGTATTTGCATGTAATTATTTGCTCTTTGCCTCCATGTTGCAACCAGTAAAACGCCGTACTTTGGCCGCATGCGCTCCATAAGGGGCTTGCCGTCATAGGACTCGCAGCCATCTGTGAAGCAACGGAAAAGGGTGAACATCGCGGCAGGCACCTGGCCGGGACAGCTCTATGCACGGAGCTGTCAAGCCATGTCAAAAACCATGTCGGATCCTACTTGGCCCCGTGAAGATGGAACAACAAAAAATTGCCTGTTGGCAGCCTGTTGGTGAAAAAGGTGGAATATTGGATTGTAGGCGTGATGTCAGTTGACTTGTCTACAAAGCCGAACTAGTCCAAGAGTGCGAAAGGATGGTTTTGCTACCAATGACTGCCCAAGGACTGGAAAATGCAAAGTTTAGCAAGTTGAATGCTCTTTGTGCTGACTGAGACAAACATGTCATCGTGTATAGTTCCTTGTATTTGATTAAAGTGAGACAGTGTGAGCTGCGGACACGGAACTGTCTCAAATTCTGGCTCTTCTTGACCAAAAACATTTTTTGCAGCCACCCCAGTTGTATATATAATGACCTGCAGATGGCTGACAGCGTCGTGAGCTTTACACAGGAAAAAGCAATTGTGAGGATAGCAACAAGGCACAGATTAGCCACAGAGGCATCCAGCGCAAGCAAGAGAGATAGAGAGAGAGAGAGAAAGAAAGAGCTAAAGGAACTAATTAATAGCTAACTACTAACTACCTAATAGCAATGGCCTCCAACCTACTAGCGATGGCCTGCAACCTAAGAGCGATGGCCTCCAACCTACTAGCCATGGCCTCCAACCTAATAGCGATGGCCTCCACCCTAGAAGCGATGCCCTCCAAACCACCGCAGAAACCAACAAACTTGCACAGAACAGCTAGATGATGACCCTCCACCAAGCCGCCAGCAGCAAAACCATTGCCCAAATCAAGACCCTCATGCCACTCACCACCTGGGTTGAGGAACCAACGCCGCAAGGCAAGTAAAAACAATATGTTTTTGAGTTACTAATAGGAATGGCCTCCAACCTAACTGCGATGGCCTCCAACCTAACAATCAAAGAAGCAGCTGAGGCCAAAACTCCTAGGACCATCATCTTCAACTCGTAGAAAATCTCGAAACGCAGTGTCCGCACCAGCCGGACCAAGCGGGTCAGCCGTAGCATGCGGATGAACCTCGACATGATAAATTTGTGGACACCGGTTCATCCAGGAGTATAGGCATCCACGTATTCAAATGGATTGACTGTTGTTGATGCCTGAATGCAAGTCTGGGCAATTGAGGCATCCACACCATAGTGTTCAGATCCACTGACTGGCCGTTGTTAACTGCTGTCAATATCCACGTGATCCTGATCTTCACATGTTTGACGGAATGGTGGTTGTACGACCAAAAGAACAGTCACCGAGGCCAAGAGGCAGTTGGGTCGAGCGCTTCCCAAGATTTGATGCAGGGAAACGATTCATGTAATTGATGCATGTGGTCTAGTTCGGACGTGTCCCTCGTGTTTCGCATCGACTCGGCTTTCGACGAGGTATCAAAATGGGTGTTAAAGGACTGGATCAAAAGCCAAATTACGCCGAGTGGCACTTCCTCTACCCAAGACAGCGCTAGGCAGAACACGTCAAAATAGTTCCAGGCCCACCTCAAAAAGCATTGAAAGCATTGATAGGAGGAAAAGGAATTAGAAACACAAAACTCATGAGGCGACTTTAATACCACAACATGGTGGTCCTGCATTGCCTATGCAGAATCCTGAAACCGTGAAGCAGAACCCAGGATTGACTAGTTGTTAAACAACAGGGGAGGGAATCTTCACCCTGTTGCTTTGAGAGGGTCTACATATGTGTTTATTTGTTCTTTCTTCGCTCCTTTTCTTGCTTCACGATCCGGCCGTTTTGGCCCGAAAACAGCTTGGCAGCTGTTGTTGCGTGGATGCATCCGCGCATCTGCTTTTCAAATCTTTGCTGGCTTGGAAGTTGTCGCCCTTGGTCAAAGCTTGCGCCTTGCACCTGCTGCAGTAGACTTTGCGGCCCGTCCTCCACATCTGATGAGTGGAGTGGCCGTTCCACTTGTCATCTGGCAGCCATTCTTCATGCCAACATTTGGTCATGGCTAGGGCTTCGAGCTTTTCCTTTGAGGAATGCTTGAGCTGCCGGCCATTGCATCTCTGACACACAACGTAGTAGGTGTCAAGTGCTCGCCCATGGAGGGCAGCTGACCACTGACCATGCTGGCGAGAAAGTCAGACTTGGAACTGACCTCCTTGGAATCAGAGTGTGCACCCCGAATCAGCGGAACTGTGATCGGAGATGGGCAGGCCTCTGCTGCTGCACTCTGGATCTCGGTGACCTTGTTGTGCATGGTGAGCCTCTTTTTGCATTGGCTGCACTGGATGCTGCGTCCCTTGTGCTCCCATTGGTGTCCCACAGGGTTGGTCTGTGGAATCAGACCCTGAAAGAGCGCCTTTTTGTGTTCTCTGGCTTGCTGTCCGACTTGTTTGCCGCTCTCTCTGGCCGTGTTCAGGAAATGTGTCGTCTCTTTAAGCAAAAACTGCACTCGTTGCACCACCAAAGGTGCAATGCGCCTGTACTTTTTGTCCTGCTCTTGGAGAATCTGTTCTTGCTCTATGGGTTGCATGGAAAGAGCCACTTCCTGCGCTGCCTTCTTTGCGTCTGCCATTCTGTTCCGCAAGGACCATTCTGTTTTCGGCGTGTCTTTGAGCTGGTCAGTCGTGATGGCCAGCACTTTATGCGGGCCCTCTGGTCCAGCGAGATGAGGTTCTGCATGTCAAAGAAAACATCTTTGTGTTTGTGTTGCGTCCAGGCTTCATGCGCACGGGTCGAACTAACATGTACCACCAGTGGCGTTTGCAAGTCCACGTAATGGGCCACCGTTCTGATTCCGTAGAACCATGCACGTTCCCAGCTCTGTCGGCCTGGCAACACTGTGATGACAGCTCCTTGGCGATAAAGTTGGCCTCCAAGTTGGACATGGTGCACGATGGCACAACGAAGTGGCGGACTCGTACATCTTTGGATGTCGTGGAGATGCCTATCGTCACCACCTCCTGTCTCTTGAGCTGCAATTCATCATGTGTGGTCCAGGAGCCCCAGGCCTGAACCGCCGCACCACCTGTCGAGACCTGGTGGTCTGGAAGTTGTAGGAGTCCTTGTGACCAGAACTCTAAGTTCACTCCAGGTTCTAACTCAAAGAGGTCCTCTGCCGCCATCTTGGGGAACCTTTTGTTCGTCTCCTTGCAAAGCCAGAGGACGTGCACTGAAGTTGCCAACTGTCCGCAGTGGGGACATTTCAAACGCTGCTCCCCGTCGGCAACTTTGGTGAAAATTGCCCCTTGATGCCAGGTCATGAGCGCTACAGCACTGCGGTGGTTGAGTTGCTTGCTCTGCCTTTGCCATGGTAGCCAGTCTAGCGGTCTCTGAACCTCCTGTAGAAGAGATCGTTGGCTGATGGCGAAAATGCGGCCTGCTGCTTCCGCTCTCTTCAGCTCGTCTTTGATTGCCAACCAGGAAGAATGCATGTCCAGCTTGAAGTCCTCCTGCCCGTTGTAGCCTGGTTTGGTCCAGACTGCCGGGTTGTCGCCAGTCCATCCTTTTTCTTGAAGGTAGCATTGCAAGGCTGCAACAGGGCCTTTGGAAACCTGCCAGGGATATTTGGCCTGTTGAAGCCGTTCTGCATGGACGTGCCAGGCCTTCTCCAAATCTCTCCCAAGGTGTTCCGGCCAAGCGCCAAAGAACTTGTGAAAGGACTTGATCTGGTCGATGAAGGCCCCATAGTCAGGGTCTTGGTGTCTCTTGAACATATCGAAGAGGGTGTCCAAGTTTCCCGTCCTTTGCAATCCCATTTGCCGCCCCATTGTAGCCCGCAGCCTTTTGCGGACCTGTGCCCATGCTCTCGCGCCCCCAACTTATGCCAGCAACAACGCTGCCCTTATAGAGCTTGAGGCGAATGGAGCGGAGTGGTATCTTGAGGACCTGCAGCTTCTTTGTTTTCCTGCTTGCCTTCAAGCGGCGCTGCTTCATCGTTTGTATCCGTCTCAATCGCCCCGCCGCGCAATCAATGCCGAGATCCCTCATCACGTCATGCACACCAGGACCTTCTGGGGGACGTTGCTGTTGCAAAAGGGCTTTGGCCTTTGCATTGCTGACAACAAAACCAGTCTTCTTGGCCGAAATCACCAAATCATCTTCCTGCAGCAGCTTGGTGATGTGGTTGTATGCAGCAATGCCCCAGAGGTCCGTGTGGAGCTGTGGAAACTTCTTGTGGAAATTCTTGAGGGCTGGCTGCAAGTATATCTTGGCCGCCAGAGGAGCTTGAGGATCTCCGGCAAGGATTCCGTTTTGTGCCCAGATCTGCTTGGACGCCTCACCTTCTGCTTCCAGGATGCGACCGCCTGCATAGACCTGGAGGGCCAGTGCTGCATGTACTGGTGGGTAATCCGAGTCCAACCATCTTTGGGCCAACTTCTCAAGGTTGATGCGGTCGTAGAAGTTTGACATGTCCATCAAAACTGAAACTACTGTCTTCTGCATAGCGCTGTTGTGTTCTGTCATGTAAGCTCTCTTTAGGGCCACTTGCAGGCATTGCTCTCTCCCAGAAATAGTCGTGCTGGATGTCCAACTGCCACTGTCTGGTGTATGGTGACCTGAGACGACACCATAGTCTGTACAATGTGGCAACCAATGCTATTGGATGCTATTGGTCTCTCAATCTCTGCGTTTTTCGGGATGAGGGCAATCAAGGAAACTGCCCATTGGTTGGGGATTGTTGCCTGAGCTTCAACCTCATGGAATAGCTCAATGAGGCTTCTCATTGCCTGGTAGGGAAGGGCCTTGAGAAAGTCGAATCCCACGCCATCTAAGCCCGGCGCTTTCTGTGACAGCAGTTTGATCGTTTTCCAAACATGCATGTCGGTCAAAGGCTTGAGGTCATTGGAATGTTGCCGGGCCTTCTGTTTCAAAGGCTCCAGGGCGCCTGGTGGTTGAGGTTCGTCTTGCTGCTTCCAAATGTTGCCCCATTGTTGTAATCTGCTGGCCATGCGTTCTGATCGAGGTTGTCCTTGGAATGGCCTTTGATATGGCATTTCATCCTTCTTTAGGGATCGGTACAGCCGTCGACAGCCTTTTCCTGCAGCCTTGCTCATCGATGTGCGGTAGATCTCTGTTTCCACTGCTAGGGATTCTGCACTGTGCAGCTCACGTTGTTCTTTGGCAAACTTGAGCAGGACCTGGAGGTGTTCTTCATCATGGTTTGTCCACAGCATGTTGAACAACATCCTGAAACCCTCCAGTGTGACTTTGGCCTCCCCATTCCAATGTTCGTCCAAGTGCCAGCCCAACTTCTGCAGGTGACGAAGCTTGCTTGTGTCCCATTGCGGTCTGTGGAGGTGTTGCTGGAGGCGGACTTCAATCTGTGCCCAAAAAGCTTGTCCCCCTTTCCTCCAAAGCCAGGGTTTGCTTGGGTCTGTCAAAGGCTTGGTGACATAGGTGAGCTGGGTGCCTCGTCCCAGCTTTGGGTTCTCCAGTTGTTGCAGAACATAGCGTTCTATCTTGCTGTACAAGCTGCCAGCCTTGTTGGTCAGCGGGTTCGATGCCATGTCAAGCCAACAGACCTCCGCGCTAACCTCTTGAACTTGTGTCCATTCACGAGTGATGTGCTCGAGCTTGGGCGCTGGATTGTATCTCTGGATCTGCTGCATCGCGATGTGTTCAACACTCCTGTTCAGCTTGCAGTGCAGTTGCGCATGCGGTCGAAATGGTACAATCCAATTGGCTTCAACGCTAAACTCTGCTGCAAGGTAGTCACTGGCCAGCGCCCAATCTAGCTCCCTGCCTGTGCTGCATGTGTCCTCTCCTGTTGCTACCACCTGTACCTTCGTGATGGAACTCATGGTGGTCGTCATGAACTCTTCTGGCATGACATTGAAGTCTCCAATGATGATGACAGGCTTTTGGAGGCCCGTGACAAAGGTTAGCAAGGCTGACCAGAGCATAGAGTTGGTTGCCCCCTGAATGCCTTCTCCACATTTGAAGTAAACAACCACCATCACCAGGTCCAGTGGACTGCGTACCATCCGCAGCCATCAATCACCTGTTTTTGGACAAAGTGGAAACGCTGGTCCAGCGGGTACAGCACGAGGAAGCCCCCGTTGGTACCCCCTTTTGGGCTGCTTGCCGCAGGGTGGCCAAGAACCCCCAATCCTCTAGTGGCGAACCATTGATGGACTTTTTGGAAATCCTCTTGAGCCAGGTGCGTCTCCACCACAAAAATGGGTCGGCATAGCAACCACTGACGGACTTCAGGTCCAAGGCTGGTCACATTGGCAAATGTGAATGGGATGACTGCTTGACATTGTCTCTTTGTTGGTCTTTCATCAGGGTGTTCAACTGCAACCGTAGGGAAGTCACAAGGAATGTCCTCCGGCAGCAAACACTTGGATGGAATGGCCCAAACCTGAACAATCTGCATCTTGAGTGCATCGTGAAGTTTGGGGATCGGTCGAGGAAAGGAACCATCATCAACAATCCAGTAAAGGCCCCTGTAGACATACACAGCAAAGTAATGTCCACTTTTGCATGCATCACCTGAATGACAAAGAAGTCCGATCAAGGAATACTGTTCCGTGCCAGTGGTGTTCCCATCTTTGGTGATGGGCAGGTTGAAGATGCTGGGGACCTGAAGGATTTGATGATGTTTAGTCCATTCGCCTTTGTCTAATCGGTAACGGCCAATCTGGCCAACCCAAAGTCCTTCTCCATCAAAGACTTGTCCTTCTGCTTGATTTGCCCAGACATTCAGCAATTGTTCAAAGTCTTGAGGTTCAGGAGTTTCCGGACAAACTAAATGAATGGGAAAAGCTGCTCTCCTGTGCACTTGTTGTCGGTGATCAACCTGGAAAAAGTGGCTGATCGTATTGTTCGTATCTGCCAGCTCATTGAGCTCGAGCAAAAACTGAGATGCATCATCTTGTACATTGTCATCAAAACGCTCCCAAAGAGGTCGTAGAGCCTTGAGGTGTGTGATCTGCACCACCTCATCATCCGTCAAGGTGGTCATGACAGCATCAGTAGTTTTGCACCACAACGCTGGTCCTCCCAGGAAGCTCCCCGCCCATGTCCATAGGCGGTAGGGTGAATTTGCATAGCACCGGTTTCTAGGGTTTCCCAACCGGTACTGGAGATTCTGCACCACATAGTCCAAAGGAGCCTGGACTTTGTGCTGCTTCTCGATCTCCTGCCCCAAAGAAATTGAGCCAGAATCGACATCCATGGCCTCTACCATGACGCTCCCAGCTCCCCCACAAAAAGGCGGAAAAGTTGTAAAGTTCTCTGTCTCTTGTCACAAAGTGAGAGAGTCCCCTGGTTCAAGAATGAGCCTGTCTCCCCTGCCCTTTCCTGTGAGCCAAAAGTTGCATGCAATGGTCTGCTCGTGTTGGCCTTCCCCAGCTTGCACAAACAGTCCATTGATGCATCCCCTCCTGCATGCTGCGGGCATGTTGGGTTACCCGCACTTCCTTCTTTTCGCGGCGTTCTCACTGAGCTTCGAAGCAAAGATTTGTACTTGCTCTGCAGTGGCGTGAACTCCTACATTGGACATAATGATCATGAGCTTTTCAGCTGTGATCTCGTCCGGATCGACATTTGCCTCCTCAGCTGCCTGCTTGTCTTGTTCCAACTGCTTGTTGTACTGGGTCGTATTGTCCTGCAACTCCTTTTGAGCTCCCTCAATCTTGGTCTGGAGTTCTTTGAGCTCTTGCAACAATGCTGAATACTGCTGTTTGACTCCATCTGCTTTGGCTTGTAGCGAAGCCTTCTTCTCCGTCAACTGCTTCAGGGTGCCAACAGATTGCTTCAGCTTAGTTGCTATGGTCGGCTCCTGCTTGGTGGGCTCCACAATCTTCTCAACTGCATCCTTGAGGTCTGAAGGTAAACTCGAAAGGTGCTCTTTCAACAAAGTTTGAAGGTCTGGTGGGGGTGGAGGTTCATTGGCCTGAAGTCCCATCGGCTTCACACTGAAAGCGTAGTCCCTCAGGTAGATTGCCCCAGTCCTGCACTGCTTTCTGTAGTGCAGTCTGTTTCACCTTTCACCTGCAAGACCTGGTGGTGCTTCCAGTAGGGCCTCTTTGTAGGATTTGGTAGGCCATCTGATCCTTGGTTCGTGAAGTTCCAAGAGGCCCATTGCACCTGCCTCTGAGTCTGCCTTCGTAGATCAGGAACCTGTTGTTGCCAGGCTCTCCCACATTGATTGCAGGAAGCCGTGGTTGGGCTTGCAACCGTTCCTGCCAAATCCAGCTGGTGCGGCAGCCCGCACAAACCAAATAGCCTTTCTTCATGCTTTGCACCTTCGTGTAGATGCCCTTGTCCTGCTTGAAGGGTCCTCCTCCTTGTTCTCCTTGATGTAGTGCAGGAGACCACTCAATGGCGGCTCCTATCTCACCTGACCCTGGCTTGAGGAGACAAATGGCTTGAGCCACATATGTGTTTATATATAATATACGTAATATATATATATATAGTTCTATAAATATGTATATTACATATATATATATTTAAAAGGCCCCTGAAGAACATGGGAAAACATTCCACAACCCGAGGCTGAGAACTACCCTTATCTCCCTGTTTGGGACGATTGTGTTGGCAACTCAACTTTAGCTGCCAGCTGCTTGGCTTGGTTGCTGGCTTGAAGTTCGTGTCAACACATGCGAAGTGTGTTCCAAGGTGTGTTCCTGCCATTAATATCAAGGCTGTCGTGGCTGAATGAAACACATCCTATTCCTTGGAAAGAAACAACAAGCCTGGCGCAAGGGGCTGAAACAGGAGCACAAGTGCACGGATGGAGACAACGCTTCATTAGTCAGACTGGAGATGAAAACTAAGCTGTTGGGGTCACACAGCTTCAGGGCAATAGGTAGTTGTGGTCATCCGCTACTGGGGCAACCACTGCCAAAGGTCATCCGCAGTTGTTGGACCATCCGCTACTGTAGTCGGAGTCAACGTTGATGTCTAGTTCAGCCTTGTGCCCTTGCTGCTGTCTGTTCTGGCCTCTCCGTGTCCATGCTCTGTATGTCTGCCATTTCTCCAAAAGGCTTTCAAAGTTACCACCAAGATCTGCACCACCAGCTGATTCGCTCAGGCTCACGACAACAGTTGCATTACAACCCCTACTCCCTCCCGCACTCTGAAACTTAGTCGCGTCAGTGGTTGGGCATTGGCTAAAAGTCAAATTTCTAAGACTGGAGTACATCTATATTATGTTTAAGGAGTTGTTTACGCCATCAACATCTGGTGTTCGTCATTAGAATTTACTAAAATTCCTCATCTGTGCGGTGGTCCACTGCAAAAGAGCCGCTCATCACCCAAGAAGAACCAGCGCCAACCAAACCTGAAGTCGCAGAGCGGCTTTGTTGTGAGATGGGCACCCTGAAGCCCTTGTTGAGGAGGTGCAGTTGTCTAGCAACAAGTGGTCTGAAGAGCTTGCTGAGTGGCAAGTAGACCTTCACGATAAACTCCAGAGTGTAAAAGGCCAGGAAGAAGATGTTAAAAGCCTCTGGGCACGTGTCCGAGATCTCAGTCGCACTGAATGGCAAACCGCGGGACCTCAAGCCGTAGCTAAACACGAGCCTAGCCCTTTACAGCTGGAATAGAAATGAATGGAATCGGTGAGGCGTCACACCTAATCAACGGAAGACTGCAGCAGCAACCTTTCCAGAAAGGCTAGGAGGACTTGTGGGGTCCCTAGAATTCCAGGGCACCAAAAGTCCTCCATGTTTGTAATTAGTGCAAAAGAGAAGGTTGTAACAAGAAGCTACTAGGAACAAGTGCATCGCTTCTAGTAACAAGTGCCTTACTAGTAGTAACAAGAAGCTATTAGAAACACCACCCTTTGCCCACCGGTCGCCGACGCCACCGACCTTCCAGACCAAATGATCCTCTGCAATATCGCTGCTAAGTCCAAGAACCAAAGCATTCATCACCTCAGTTCTGCCAAAGGCTTCTTTGCCCTTCTGGGCTCTATTCCAGTTCACCTCTTCAGGGGCCTCAGAATTCCATCTTTTCTATCTATTATACATATCTTTTTGAAGTTCAACTAATAGAACTCTGGGAAGCCCTGACAATGACAATGCCGGGTACCACATCAGCCAGCAAGGCCATCCGGCCGGTCGGGCCTTTGATTGCATTCCCACCCTGGCCAAAGCAAGCAGAATGGCAGAATACCGAGATCATTTTGGAAATTCAACGGAAGCATTGTCACTTGGAAGTCTGACCTGGGTACTTGAAGGCCAAGACATCTAGCATGAAAAAACATCATCCAAGCATCCGAGATCTTGGTTCTTGATATGGAGGAGTAGCTAGATGGCTAAATGAAACCGAGTCAAGCCTGGTAAGGCTCTGGTGACTCAAATTCAAGCCAAGCCTGGTTCCAATGACCATCGTCCTTGTACAAGTTGTAGTTGTTCTCCATCTGAGGAAAGTGCTGACACGGAATCTTCAAAGGAGTTGCACTAGTGTCAGAGAGCCTTCTCACTGGATGGATAAGGAAGGTACACAATCAAATCGATCTCTAGTGAATGCCCGTGAGTGTCTGCACAGGTTTACGCAAGCATCTACTTGGGCCTTCAAAGCTTCCCTGAGGATCTTGCAGTCCCGCTTGATACCGCTCTTCCTGGGCGATCGGATTTTTGAGTGAATGAACATGTCAACGTCAGCAACGTGAGTCAACCCTCTAGCTGCTGGCCCTAGGCACAAAAGGGAGCCCTCGGAAAGCTGGTCATCTGACACAAGGGCCTTAGGACAACACAAGGCCCAAAGGCAGGAGACACCAGAGGGTTGGTGACCCTTTAAGTGAGGACCAAACAGCACCCACTAGGGGAAAATAACTCGAGTTTCAACCTCACTAACTTACCCACTTCTTCACACTCCTTACCCAGATAGGAGGTTGTGAACAGCAGAAAAGCAGTTCCGTCCTCCACCCGCCAAGTTGCGATGAATCCATCCAAGTCGATTGACTCGTGATGTCTGCGCAACAGCTGGGCTGTTCGTCTCTGCTAGGTCTAGTCTATGAGTTACTTCACTGCACATCAATTGTTGCTTGCCAAACCGTAAGCAAAAGAAGCAGCTGATGCACAGTGGGCTCTTCAGTGCCACAGTGAATCGCGTGAAAAGAAGCAAGTTCACCAGCGCGGTGCAGATGGCTTTCGAGCTGGCAAAGCTGTTTTGCTGTCTCTCCCTTCAGTCCTGCCCAAGTTTCTCGCACTTCCAGCATGCGTCAAGTGACCAGGAGATGTGATCTTGTCTGCCTTCCCCACATGCCTGTGCCAGGAAAGACACGAGGTCGGAGAAGTTTAGGACCAAATTTTGATGAGACAACATCTTCAATCATTTATTGCATATACAGTTATGTATATATACATGTGTGTATATATATATATATGATATATGTATATGCACATGTAGTTCAATCTTCACACGTGCCGAAACCTCTGCATCCAGCAGGCTGTCAAAGGCAATTTTTCTAGGAGCTCGAGCCCGCTTCTCTCCACCCCTTTGGTCAAGGATTGAGTGAAACCCACGCAGATGATGCACCAATGTACACCAGCCACTGTGAAACTAAGAATGCTGCGCTTGCGTACTGCCAAATTCTTGGCCCTCCAAGCTCACCGCCGAATTTTCTCCGGCGAACGTACAGCAAGAGGATTGCACAAAGCGCATTGCTGGAGAAGACCAACAAATTGAACCATAAAGAACCTGCTTCAGGGTCTGTTTAGCCATCCCATCCCTCTACTAGCAAAGAGATCTTCACACATCATGACCTCTGCGAACCTAGCATTTCAAGTTTGCAAGCTGACGTGACATGACCCAGGCCTGCTGGTGTGATGAAGACTGCATTTTGCAGGCCATTAAAGTTTGTGATAGAGTCTCTGATCGCATAATATTTTCCGCCCACATCCAATCTGCTGAGCCACTCCTCGCGGGTACTGCCTTCACCCTGGCACTGCCAATAGATGGCTGCAATGGTCCAAGGCATCCCCAAACCAAGGAAGACATTCACCGAGTTGCTGCCCGTGACATTCCCTATCGAGGCATCTGCATAAGGATCCATGACAGCTGCCGTCTTCGATGCAAAGGTGTCTGGCAAAGAGGTGCCGAGAGCTACAAATGTGATTGCAGTGATCTCCGGCCCAATGTTCAAGGTGCAACCCACCAAATTCGCAAGGTCCCCCACCACTGCTGTCAACGCGGCAATCATGCCAAGTGCAACGAAAAAGCAAACCCATCCATTGCAGTAGTCGACTGGTGGAATAAAGGCAAAAAGGAGTTTCCAAGGCATGCCGATGAAGTGCATCACAATCCCTATCTTCGAAGGGCCACCATCCTCCTCTTCTTCTTCCTCTTCGTCATCATTTGACATGAAAATGGCATCTCGAAACTGTTCTTTCCAATGGGAGAATCCCAATGCATGCTTGTTCCAATTGATTTGACTCGCGATGCGGTCCAGAGCAGCTTTCCTCTCGTCTGCTGCCTTGATGACCACATGGCAAATGCAACTGGTGGCGCCGCCATCGGTGGATTTGTCGAAGGTGGCTCCTCAACAGTGCAAAGATGTTTTTGTTAATTGATCAGGAGCCACCAGACGACGAATTGATCAATAATTTAACTCGTAGCCGTTCATTGATTTATCAATTCATCGTTATCCATTCTTGAACATGATTATTTGTTTTTAAAAAAATGTATGAATATATAGGAACGTGTAAGGCACAGCAAAGCAGTATGAAAGCCTCGAAAGCATGTCACTCGATATTTCTCCTCCAGACGGTTCCACCAAATAAACGTTGAAGGAGGAGGTGTTCTCATAGCGGCCCTTCGGCTTAATGGTGATGTCAATGGTCGCCGTCTGTACCGTATGATCAAAGTAGAGTTGTCCTCAAGGAGTCGATCAGGGAGTCGATACGAAAGTTCCACTTCTCGAACTGCTAATAGCGATGGCCTCCAACCTAAGAGCGATGGCCCTGGCCTCCAACCTGCTAGCGATGGCCTCCAACCTAAGAGCGATGGCCCTGGCCTCCAACCTGCCAGCGATGGCCTCCAACCCAAGAGCGATGGCCCTGGCCTCCAACCTGCTAGCGATGGCCTCCAACCTAAAAGCGATGGCCCTGGCC